TGAATGAATTGCTTCGTAATTACACCGTTTCTATGTGATAAACATTTGCTTAAATTATTTTACAATGATATAAAAAAGAATAGGCACGCATCAACACAAGATAATGCGGTCAACTGCTAGAAAAAGTATGAAAAGAACAATGGATACGGAATGGTTTCTATGAAACGCATTGCTAAAAAATAAAAATTGACGAGTTTGACGAACGTAGTACTGGGCCAAGAAAAGAAAAATTACACACAATAACAAACCAAAAGAAACAGAAGGAGCAAAAAGGTAAAAAAACAAAAAATTGGACTGCGGCCACGATAGGTCCTAGAAATAAGACTCTAAATTTAGAGTTAAGCCTACGTAACTGGGCAAAGATCCGTAATTTCTGAAAGACGTCAATTGCCCTGTTGTTCCTGAGCCGTCGCAAGAAGGGGCTTCCAAATTTGTCTACGTTTCAGAAGGGCTCAGAAAACTGTCACGGTTTCCCAATAAAACTCTTGAATAGGGAACAAGAAAATTTTATAGCTCAATATTATTTTCTAAGACTTTTTTCACTGGTACTCCTAATTCACCCATTTTAAAAAATAATGAATCCTAGGTGGCGAGTAGCGAATGAGAAGCTAAAGAAGAACTTAAAGCGACCTCGTTTTTGCCCTAAGAGACAGGTAAAATAGTGAGATGGACTTTCTGTTTTTGCTTCGACGATTAATATATAAATACAGCCGCAATGTCTAAAGCTTCCCGCGCTGATCAATCCACCAAAAACCGCAAAAATTTTAAAGTCTAATTTTTCCAACCACGAATTACCTCTTATAGAGCAACCATGAATAGGAGGAAACTAACTACGGCTGTTTTATGCTCCCTAAATCTGATTGACTTGATTAATGTTGTTACGCGGTTGTTTAACCTAAGAAATTCTCGCTTACACCAGCGTACCCATTATCATGTACCTTTTTGAACAAATCAGGATTTTAATAGGATGTATACGGCTGATCGGGTGATATGGTATAAGGGTGCGTGTGGCGCAGTGGTCGTAGGCGCCTTGTAACCCACAGGTGGAATCGGTTCCCGCGCCCACGGCCCACCAAGCCTTCCATCTGCCCGAGGTAATCAAATTGGTACCAGACTTGTATGGGAGGTTAGCAGCACTAGCTTGATGCATCAGCAAGCCACCGCGAGTCATTGTAAAGGCCAGATATACATTCATTCACCTCCAAACGATGGTTAATTAAGTGGAATGCATGGCGCACAGCTGTTATAACGGTAATGCAATTGGAAGCTCGTCAGTGACACCACGTACATCAGCTGATCCCCACAAGACTGGACCATAAGAATGGAAGTGCACACTGCCAGTCCTCATCAGCACAATGACACGAGCTTTCACACCTTACCTACTTAAATGCTCCTTTATGAATGGAAAATCAGCCCGATCTCGTTGCAGGAAACGGGAGATCAACATAATACAGGCGATTACATCTTACAATCCAGAAAACACTGGTAACTACCGCCCAATCTTACTGGTGCCTGTGTTAGACAAATCCTGTACTCGAATCATGCCCAACTGGATTGACAGCGCACTGCTTGAAGGGTAACCATACAAGCGAGCATGTTCCCTAGATAGGTCCTGACCAATGAATTACCCCAATATTATAGCGAAGCTCAACTAAAAGTCACAAGATTCTATGGATTTTTTTTTAATTTCAACGACTTGGAAAACCTTGGATTTCGTTGACAAGAATAAGGGCTTGGAGGTCTCCCTAAGCAATTACGATAAAGATCCTTCTCAAGGTCTCACATTAACAGCTAAAACTTATTTTTTCCTTAAAGACACCAGCATTTTCCCAAACAGAGAATTTCATATGGCGACAACATCCTGTACAAATTTTTTAAAGCGATTCTAGAAAACGTCACACGAAAACTGGAGTGGGTCAACATACGAGTGCAAACCGATGACCGGAGACATTACCTTCGATTATCTGATGGAATCATTTTTGTAACGTTATACACTAGCCAGGTTAATGCTGGGTGTTTCTACAGCGCTTGTACAAAGGCGGCTTGCAGAACTTACAAGTTCATCGAAAATGTAATAAAGAGAAAAGAACAAAGGACCACTGGCCATGTATTCACTTTTTCCACTAATCACAGTCTCAATGAGGGAATGTCGCACAAGCGATATGAAATATCACTCAATCCTTTTGAAGTGCTACGGAGAGAACGAAGAGATGAGGACTTCATATCACACAAGCAACAGAGATCCCGAATCCAAAGCTCCGTCTGACGACGACACGCCGTTGTCTACGCCGAAATGTCGAAAAATAGGTGAGGCGAATGCGTTATGCATTTTAGCGACATTTAATGGATAACAGACGTTAGCGATTAAACCACATTAGAGTCAAACGTACAGCAGGAAGACTGTAGCCGTGGTGGTCAGACTTCTAGCGAAATCTCGCGAATGAGTGGAACAGACTGCCCTAGGTTTTCATGTTGATATAGCAAGTGTAAACTTTACTTAGGTAGATTTAAGTCATTCAACTGCTATAGGAAACACAAAAGACAGGCAACAGAACAACAACACATTTCCTTCCGCTTATGACTACGGGACAAAAATAAATCGTTCCGTTTGCGTCATCTGGTAGGTAATTGGCTCACCTCATACTACAATAAACCTATAATAAGAATGTGTCCATCGATTAAATAAAAAAAGTTAAAAAACTACATAAATCTGCATTGCGTTTAAAAATTACCTTGAACGAGCATGCGACATTATAAATTTTAAGCCATCTTGAAGTAGGGAAAATTTGTCCCCTTCTTCCGTAAACTCTCAGTGGATGTGCCTTTTGTTCAGCTGAACTCACCATTCAACAAAAATTTACCTCAGAGCTTGTTCTATTATCACCTTCCACTAGTGCTGGTTTGAAGAACTTGTAGCTCAATGGTAAGAGATTCTGCTGCACACATGTGACCATAAATGCACATGCAGTTAATCTCGGAGTTGATCAATTTCTAAAGAATGCGGCATGCGTTCGACTTCATAAAGCATTGGTGAAGGTGATTGAATGCATTGACCTAAATAATGAGTGGCTAAGGCCTACCGATGTACTGAGTCAACGTTGCTTAGTATATATATATATATATATATATATATATATGTATATATATATATATACATATATATCCCTGAGGGATGTGCCATGCATTCGACTTCAATAAGTATCGTTGGAGGTGATTGAATGCATATCTGGCCTTTACAATGAGTCGCGGCGGCCTACCGATGTATCGAGCCAGTGCTGCTATCCTCCCAGGCAAGTTTGGTACCAATTCGCCGACTCCGGATGGATGGAAGACTTGGTGAGCCATGGCCCCTGAAATCGATTCCACGTGGCTGTCTCAGTTCCGCCTCCAACCACTGCGCCAAACGCGCTTCTAGCACATATATATAAATATATGTATATATATATATATACATAAATATATTCATATTAAGAGCTAGTATATAGCTGGTTTTCACATCAAGAAAAAAGTGAAAACGTAGGAAGTTGTGGAGTTCTATTTCATTGCATAGTGGCAGAAACTCCGAGATTTCACAGCACAAATATGAACTTAGACAAAATTTAAATGAAATACTGTACTGTGCTAATTTCAGGCGAGTCATTGTGAAGATGAGAGAATATAATGAACCACCTTGCCAACAACCCGCTTAGCGTGGATGATAAACATTGATAAGCCTTGGTGGTATAGAAATTGGAGTCAAAGCGGGAAATTTTAATCCTTCCACCTTTGTTCTTCAAGCTTATCACGAGCACGTTGCCATTTCTTCAAATATCCAACCAATATGCTAATGAAGAAAATCTCCGTCATTAGAATTCGGTAAGAAATAACGTCCTTCAACTTCATTGAATCGTAGTTCTATACAAGTGTGGTGTACAACTTTGCAAGCCACTTATAAAAGTGTATTTGTTGGAAAAGTAGAGTTTTCTGTTTTTTAAAATTGCTTGGAAGGTTAAATTATTACAGGTTTTCGTCAAAAAATTGAGATTTTGCATACAATTCTTGCGAACTGAAACACTGGAGACTCCCAATAGTTAACTTCATCCCATCGTTCCTCTCGTTAAACGGAGAGGGACCAGTCACATTCTCCACACTTAGCCGGAGATGTAACGTTTTCTTACGTTCGGTTAATCGCAATGGATTACTTTCATTGTTTTTCAAACGGTGGTCCTCTTATATCGTTTCTTGTGCTTTTTGTTGCGTTGAGTCATGCACGTGCTCAACCAAAGGCATGACGATCTGGTTTGTGTGTCAGCTACGCTGATCATCCTTTTTCAACGGATCTCTCAAGTCCAGCAACATTCGCTTACTTACTCCAACAGCTTGTATCTCGCTATCGTTCTTCTTTTAATACGCACAATAGAAGGCATGCAACAATGAATCCGCTTCACTCGTGTCGACGGTATAACTAGTAGTAGGCAGAGAGCAAACCTGGTGAACAAATCTTCTGCTTTCCGTTTCTAGTAACGGACCATTGAATCAAACGTGACAAAAACTGTCTTCAAAAAAACGTTGAGAAAACCGATGATGCTATAGTACATTCTTGTCTTGACCATTGGTTCATTGTTTTAAACGCCTTTTACTAAGTCAGAAATTCCAAAATGTTTATTTGTGAATATATAAGTGCGATTGCAACGCAGTGACTAGAGGTGCCTTGTACTGCACACTGGTTCTATTTCGTACCCCAGACTTAGCAAGCCTTTCATCTTTTCGGTTGTCCAAATATGTAGCAGATTTGTCTGGAAGCATAGCATCACTGACTTGTAAACAAGAGCAGCGCACCGAAAGTTATTTTATAAGCCAGGTATGCATTTAACTACCTCTACAGAGCTTAATGAAATATAAAATGTTCCGCATTCCTCAGAAAGTTATCAATTGCAGCCGTATTGTGATTTTATCCCTTGTCTAGTTAAAGCGCTCAGCTAAATTTATTTTGTTTATAACAGGAGATACGTTTCTCAAGAATGGCTGCTGTTGGTCCTTTGGATGAACACGATAGGCGACCTGCTTTAATGATTCGTTTAGCCGATATTCAAAAAAAGCTGTTTCTCACTTAGTTTCACGTACGTCTCTATATGCCAAGCAGCTGAATAAATAGTGTAAGTTAAGCAGTACTTAGTTTTTTAACATAATAGTTTTCATGGCAAGAAAGAATGAGGCAGAAAAGATTAATGTAGGATACGATAGTGGGTGGGATCGAGTTCTTCTACTGTGGTCTGTTTCTCTTCTTCACTTTCATAGTTCAATAGTTTTTATGTTTATTTTTACATTTTTTCCATTTTTTATTTTTTACGGTTGGTTTAATTAATGGTTTTGTTAAGGCCGATTATTGCCCGACATGTGATCGACGAATCAAGTCCATTACACGGTCTCACAAAAGAATCTCTACTTGTAAGTTGCAACTCACATTTATGTTTTCTTCTTACAACTACAGAATTTTTAATTGATCAATTTGTATCTTTTAGTCGGCAGAAGTTGAGTTAATTATGACTGTTGAGTGCATCGTTGAACCGACAGGAATGACATTCCAGACAGGAACATCATTTCTTCCAAACGAAACGCTTTGGGGTCATAAGTGAACACATTACTGTGTTTGTTGGATATGTGACATGCATGTTACAACTTTCTGTCATAAAGCTAGGCTATTTTTTTTTATACTTGTTAACGAAAGGCTATTTGTAGTTGTGGCAGCACGATTTTTTAGTTAATTGCTTTTGTTGGTGGAGATACCCTTATCTGTCACAGTTCGAATCATGATACTTAAACTTTTTTCTTTCATGAATGTCTACATTTCCTAACGGTTTATTGCCTTATCATGGCTGGGAGGTGCTTTGGCGTGTCAGACTGCGATATAGAGCGAAAGGATTCGTCCCCCAGCAGGGTCTCCCAAGCTAAGAAAGGGTCCGGCGTTTCCATCAGGAAGCCTAGCTAAGTGTAAACCAATACCAGAATCCGCCACCGTCCTGGTACCAAAGTCACATGGTGGCAAATCTCCCTCTAATATAAAATGGCTGCGACTGTCTCTGATGGTGAAGACCTGGGGTAGACTTTAGCCAGGTTGACCTCTGGATTCCAGGAAACCAAAATGGCTTAACAAGCAAATCTCTGAAAAATGGAAGTTATGTTGGGGCCCGCACAACCACTGAGAACGGGCCACTCAAGCATCAAATTAACAAGTAAGTATATATATATATATGTATATACATATATGTGTGTCTGTAATCTACTTATACAAATTTCAGTTCATCGTGTTTGCAACATATTTCGCCTTGGTGGTTATGCTATTTCTTATCCTCATCGTTCGCTCGCCGTTTACGAAATTCCAGAAGATCGCTGAGAGTGATTAGGATGAGTGTTGACTGGTTTGTATAGACATGATAAATATTTTATGTAGCACTTTTTGATCACATTCTGCTTTGTTTCCTTTTAATTTACTTTCGAAACATCTTTGTCTTAGCTAGGAAACAGATGGCCATAGAAGTACTGGACAGGTGCAGCCTCATCTTACAAAGATCCTTAGTGTTGGAACGGCTCGTTGATATAGGAATACCAAGTAGTTAAGACAATTCGGTCAGAATTAGCTGCTCGCCTTTGTGTACGCCACGCGAGACTTCTTGTGATCAGCAGTCACAATGTCGGACATCTCAAACTTGGGTAATTGAACCGTTTATCATAATTATACAGCAATCATAACAATACAACTCTACAATTAATGCAAAAATGGCACGGGTTATGAGTAGGAACAGCCTGATCACTGGTGTTCAGGTTGCTTACGAGTGAAGAGATTGGCATATGACTTTTACTACATGAGATGGTTGTGAGGCACGAATGCGGTGACTTCGGCAGCATTGTTGTGACATGAGCTAGCTAACCGTGGAGCCGTTTATATACCTTTGAGCTGGGCGGAGTCAGATTACAGTAGACGGAGTCGGACTACAGTAGGCAGAAAGACGAGTGCTGGAAACATTTTTCAAGCATTGCAATCTGATAGGGCGATATTTAAAGCCTAGGACCGTAAGTGCAGATATTTTACGAGATAGGCGCCAGCGAAATGTTAGACATGCGGCTATCAGATCGTCATAGAGAGAAGGTCATGGGAGTAGCATTTGAAATGTTTGGAGAGGTTTGAATTGTTTTACATAGAGAACTTTCCAATGTTCGTGAAGAATGTTTTCTACACTTAAAGAGTTATACATTAACTTTACAACTAGTATTTTATCGTTTTACAGCGATACTGTCATTGATGGAAAAGGAATGTACGACAAGCTGCTAGCCTTTTTCAGTATTTTCACGGCCACTTTCCAATACGCCGTATGGAAACTGCGGCGACAGAATAACATCGCAGTGAAGGTTGCTGGCAAGTGATTTTACCGTTGTCGCCTTCTTCATGGCACCCCTCTCATAATATCGAGCACTTAGTTGGGCGAAGCGAACTGTCGATTAACTCAAAGTATCCATGAATGAACCACAATAACTGTTTTGCGACTGCGCGTGACCTCGCGCCATATCTTAGGATGATTCTATAACCTGACCCAGGTACATTTCCTGCATGTGTAATACTCTGTGCAGCTGTTCTCTATCAATTATCTGAGAGACTTACAACGAACAAAACTGTGGGTGTTTAAAAGAATCTGCTTATTATGCGAATGCAAACAAATGTGTCAAATCTTATTTGCTAAGGTTATGAAAGTGTTTGGCTGAGTAGATCGCATGCCAATTTGACCTTACCATGCTCTGAAGGTAGCGAAACCGTAAAACATCGGCTATTGTGTGCTAATAAATCCTTTAATACCAATCTCGTGTTTTCTTATCGAAGAAAAACACTGAAAGCATTAACTTACACTGGCGTTGGTTACGGCAGAGATGGATGGGTCCCAAGCCGCCGCCCACCTTATTAATGGAAGCTACAATATGTATATATATTTTTCTATATGACCCATATCCACGTCTAGTGTGGATCCCAGCAGTTCTCACATCCAATTCGTTTTCTCGCATTCATCGTCCACAACGATCTTCCAAGTTTTTACGCGTGGCTTCGGTAGCTGTTTGAAGATTTTCATTTCATCTTAAATATCGTAGAATGCTGGTCGAGCAATTCCACTCGACCCCTGAGATAGCCTTGCTGTAGCGTTTTCAAATGGATTGCAGTGTGTGATTTTTTCCCAGGCAAGTCGGGTACCATTTTCCCGAATCCGGAGGAATGAGACGCTTGGTCGGCCCGGAGCGGAATCGAACTGACACCATGCTTATGATAACGAACATTACTACCAGACGTTACATATATATATATATATATTTAATGGGTGAATTCCGAGACGAAAAATAAGATCGTCGCAAAAGAGAATTGCGTGACATACTGTAATTTTAAGATGTACACGTTTCAAAGGACATGCAGTTCTTTTATCCACAGTCGTTTCGCATCGCTAAAATCTCAAATGCAAGTATCTTTATTCTTTTCTGTTCGATTATACTTTGAAGAGCCATTTTTATCAAAATCTTTTAATAAATTGGAAATTTTACTTCAGTCTACAAATGTGATTGTACACGGTGGTAAAGCTGATATCGCTCTGGCGTTTATAAAGTTCTCAACCTCGCCTTTCAACTCCTAAATACGTCCGTAATATTCGCTATCATCACGAATTGATCAACGACCGTCCACTGTGAATATGTGAATAATATACATCATTACCTGTAGATTTACATCGTTTACAAGCAGACTAGGTTTTATCAGATCCAACATCTTCATGTCGTAAACATAGACAGCGTGTTCCGGGTATTCAGTTAGTAGAAAAAGCATCGTACGCAATGCTCGTCGGGTTAGTCCCAAATCTGATGTTGACAAAAGATTTGGGAAGAGGAACAACACACCTAAAATCACTTCGTAGTCATTGCTGCAAAACATACATTGGACGCCATGAACAACCTTGAACGTTTATACAGAATGGCAATTAATGGGAGCAGATTAAGCAAACAGGGTTTGCGTGACAGATCCACTTATACTTCTCTAATAAGATGGTGAACGATGAAGCACTCCACGCTTACCAACCCTTGAGCAATGCTTCATTTTTTGAATCCATTAAGTAGTGCGGAGGTAACTAAATTTGTATTTTGCCGATGCAGTGGTTTACCATAGGCTAGTCGATGAGTACAGTCAGCATCTTTTGCCACATTATAGAAGCTTTATACCAATTTGAAGACCCATGACGGTTTAGTCGTGATCGAACTAACGAATACGTTTGTATTGCAAAGCAACTCCGACTGCTTGCTGAACTCGTTCTCTCTTTCGTCCGTATACATGTAATGATTCTCATTTATTAGTGTCGAAATAGGATAGGAAGCATGCCAACGTTATAGCAAACGATAAATTTTTTAAGGATCACTAATAAAAGAGACAAGAAGACAGACAAGTAAAAGATTTTTTCTGGAAGTGATTGGCGACCAATTGATGGATATGTTCCTAGAGTAGGAGCAGCCGAGAAGCTCTACTATGTGATGGAGACGAAAGAAGACTCAGAGTACACAAATGGTGCCTAATATTTTTAGCAAAATACCAAAATATACCAATAATTTGAGAGATAATCCAATAGCTAAGCAAAATATATGTTTTTTATACCTTTTTATTTTCTGCCTACTATGATTTCGCGGCAGTGTACTAAGCGAAATATAACCAAAACGTTGCTGAGATATTTGCAAAACTCTGGGTCGCAGGTGTTTATGGTGGGGAACGAACGCGCTATTGTCCTTTCCGGGGAGTAACGCGTTCATCACCACACCATGCAGGTCCTTTGTTTCGCCTGTCTCTCAGCTATTTCTATCGATCTCGCTGACGGGTGATTGCTGTGGCAAAGATCGATAGAAATAGCTGAGAGATAGGCGAAACAAAGGACCTGCATGGTGTGGTGGTGAACGCGTTACTCCCCGGAAAGGACAATAGCGTGTTCGTTCCCCACCATAGACACCTGCGGTCCAGAGTTTTGCAAATATCTCAGCAACGTTATGGTTATATGTTTTTTGTTTAAATTTAACCTGCGCAACTTTAGGAGATTTCTATGAGAAACACATATCGTACCAGATCCTATCATCAGTGTGATCTTGTCACGGCTGGCGCCAATGAGCAAATTAATAATTGCCCACATGCAGTCCTAAAATGATTTCAAGATATGGAAAAGCAGAATGATAAGGCGTGTTTTTCTATGCTATACAGTTATAAGGTTCAATAACTCGAAAAACTAGATGAATAGTTGAATTAACACTTTTCTTGAAAAAGTATGGAATCTCAAGAACAAATTCCGTGTAATTAGTTGCAGTTTAGACACCCTTGCTTTCAGACTCCATGAAGCTGTGTCCTAGTCGTCACCACAGAGAGTCTGCCGCCCTCGTGGATCTCAGGGAGTCATGTCATCACAGTAAGTTTTCCCCATGACGGCAACATACCTACGACATCCGCGTAGAGGTGTAAAACTCTTTTGTCAGCCTATGTAACGCGTTTGTTTGTCAACCCCTTGCCTCAACTTGAATTTCGAAGCAAGTAACACACTCTGACCACGATGAAGGGTGAACTATTGGAAAGGACATGCTAACTAAAAGAATAAGAAACTAAACAGTAGCGAAAATCACAAATTTTTTATAGGGATGTTGCCGTTGTTCACCTGTACCACCCGCAGCCCCGTTGATTGTCGAGTGACTCGAGCGGGCGCCCGTAAATCTTTCATTTTTCGCTTCCGCGGGCAGTAGTGACCCTGTGGGTTCTGTAGTAACCCTGTGGTAAAGGCTGGGCATTATACTTTTTTTAGGCTTTTCGTTTGACTTCCCGCGGAATCCAATCACTAACAGCTCAAGTCCACCGGCTGTTCTTCATACGAATTGCGTGTCCAGTCCACCACATCCTCGACTGTTTGACGTACAGAACGGCATATTTGAACTTTAATCCTTGATGCAGGTCGGAGCCTTGGATGCCTTCCATTAATTGCGTAACACGGGATACTCCTAGCGTTGTCCTTTCGACTGCGCGTTCAATAACGCTGAGCGATCTTTCATCCCGTTTACGCGGTGACCAGGTTTCTAATGCGTACGTTAAGGCAGAAAGTACCGCTGAGTCGAAAAGGTGAACATGGAATCGGGTGTTCTTTGTTTTCTTCACTACATCGTCGATGCTCTTAAAAGCTCTCTAAATTGCTCGTTCCTTTCTGCTCAACACTGGAGCTAACTCCTTGAACATGTTGATTTCCCAGCCAAGATAGACAAAACTAGAGCACTCGGAGATATCCTTTGCTTTGAACGTTAATGGGGAATACCAAACCAACTTCAACAAAGTCGGCAAAAATTTATTTCGCTTGGCTAATTTTTGACGCCAGAAGAACGATGTCATCAGCAAAACGAAGATGGTGTAATAACCGATTATCGATTTTCACTCCCGTAATGTCCCATTCAAACGCTCGCATCACGTTCTCAGGAGTGGCGGTAAATAATTTTGGCGAGATGGTATCGCCTTGACCAACACATCTTTTGATGCCAATGTTAATATCGCTATAGAATAGTGATATCTCGCTTGTGAGATCTTCTTACAACACACAAAAAAATCCTTATACAGCGAGTGGGGTGTCCCTGAGTGTCAAAGGCTTCCATGTCTGCTTCAAGGTCAACTAAGTTAAAAGTCTTTTTCAAATCGACGAAAGTGAGACAGAGCGGTCTTTCGTACTTTCGCAATGCTCCAATAAGTCTTGTTATCGTGTGGATATGGTCCATCCTACTAAATCTTTCACGAAATCTTGCATGATCACATAACTGTCCTTTGTCCAGTGTTCTGTCAAACCTGTTTAGGATGATTCAAGTAAAATTTGCAGACAGCAGACAGCAAACGGATTGAGCGTTAGCTGCCGATATTGTGGAGGTCACCGTTGCTGAAGAATAGTACAGTCTTGCTGGTCTTCTAATAAGTAGGCACCTTGCATTCAGACAGGTAACGTGTGAAGAGCCGAGCCAATGTGTTTGCGAGAACTGGCCGAAAGTCCTTCAAGGGTTCAGATTTTATACTCTCCGGACCTGGTGCTGTTCCATTTTTCACCGACGAGATAGCATGTCGGAATTCGGAAGGGAAAGCCGGCGTTACGAGATATCCGTGCTTCTTTTTTCAATATGAAGAAAGAAGGGCGTGACTATTGAAGACTCTTAGTAGCAGTCATAAATGGCTTCCTCCATTGCCTTTCGACGCTGTAACTGCTCCGTCCGGGCCCTGGAGTGCAACTATCTTGGTCTTGTAATTGGCGAAGCTTCGGTTGACTTTGCGAATGGTTTTCTCAGTTTCTGCTGCTGCGACCATAACTGCTGCCGTTCTCGCTTAAAGATCTTTTTTTATCATCTGTCTGCATTGTTTTGCAAGTTTGGACGTTAGTTTGCGGTTGCTTGCAGCTCGTGCGATTCCACGCTGCGTATTGGCTCGAGTGTTTCTGGAGACAAACGTCTCTTGGTGACTTTCGAACTCTCAGCTTTCATAGCACTAACGTGAAGATGCTGAATGAGCCGACCGTGCTCCTCGTCGATGTTATCGAGAACTGCGTCTTCAAAACAATCGACTAGTCAATTGAATAAATCCCGATTTACGGTGCTTTTGGAATTTCGTTTTTTGAATTAAGCTCTTTTTCTCTTCTCCGAGAGAAACGGAATCTTGCACAAAGAAGGCGATTGTCTGATTCCACGTCAAATTTCGGGACAACAACGACATCGGCAAAGCAAAACCTTCGATATACCAAGAAGTGGTCTTTTTCGTCATGGTACACTCCACTAGAAGATTCCCACGTCCAGCGTTGAGTGCGGGGCTTCTGGAATTGCGAGCCTATAGACGGTCTTGCTCGTCATGATAAACTCATTCAGCCGCTCACCCTGTTCGTTCCATTCTAATCCGTGGGTCCCAGTGTAACAATCTTCAGACGCTCATCTTGGTCCAATCTTAGTGTAAGAATTACCAATGATAACACTTGAAGAATGTATGGCTTTGTCTGTAGAACTTCCCCAAGTCCATGTGGAACGCTTCGATTTCTTCTTCGTCATAGTTTGATGTCCGCGCGTGAACGACCGAGATTGTCAATGCCGAAATTGATCCACGTCTTTTTAATCGTAAACATCTGAATCAGTTTGAATGAATCAACGTTCACGGAAAAACTCATGTTGACGAGAACTTTGATGCCGCTGACTCCTCCACTGTCGCATGTTTTTGAGGAACACTTCTTCCACGGTGTCATAGACTGCGCTGAATGGGTGGCAGCACTTTCCCTCGGCCAGGCCGATGACGTTGTACCTAATTCTTCTTGCTTGCATGAGCAAATCTTCTATCAAGGATTCGGGTGCAAGTGTCCGTGAATTGTAGGTACAGATCGTCACCTTAGTTCTTCGTGATCCAGGCAGCTCCCATTGGCTATGAGATTTTAGCAGCCTCTCCGCACTCGGTTTCCCAAAAGCTGCCAAATCAGGGAGTTTTTCGAGGTCAGGGAAATGAGACGCGTTTTCTTTACTGCGTCTAGCTTTTTGTTACCCACACATAGCTTGCTCAGCCTTTAACGTGGGGCTGGCTATATTCACGCGTGGTTTTCCAGTCTATCCCAGATTTGACATATAGCTTACTTGCCGGAGACGACTCCTAACTGTCTCCCATATAAATACCCTGTCATTTGATTGAAGACTTTGACCCAATTTACTCGTAGAATACTAACCGCATAAAGGAGAACATACACAAAAACCCATGCATGAATTCGCATCGTAAAGCAGAAAGTATTTTCCAAATCGGCGCCGCAGAAACAGTATTCCATATCTTGGATCCATCTGCTTCTCAGAGAGCAGTGGTTACTTTTTTTCTTCGATCAACCCTTTTTCCTACCACTTAGTCTCGCTACTAATCGACTCGAGATCCCTCATCTGAGGAGTTTTACCAGCACTACGTGTATTGGGATTCCCTACTCTTTACTGAAGTAGTTCGCATGATTGTCCCGAACGCGGTTTTAAAACCTAACCAGAGCAATCCTATTTCCCAACATCTGGTTATACGAAATATTTTTTTTCAATCGATCAGTAGTGTAGAAAGAAAATGTGCTAAATGACCTCATTGATTTCACTCTCTGAGGATTCTGCACCTTCAAAGAGCATTGCATACAATTCCGGATTCTTGATGAGCGACTAAATGGATATGAATTTAAACATGAAGCAAAACTTTAGCTTATTATTGAATAAATGGCGTTGAAAAAAGCGCTTAAAAATATGTCACCAGCGCTTCATAAACGTTCTGATGAAATGTGGTAAATGCTAAGAAGAAAAATGAGGAGCCAAGTCTTTCAGGAGCAATTAGAAAACACCTACTATCACGTAGAAAACGAAAAAAGCTTAACAATTAAAGAAAAAAAAGCCAGAAAAAGGTCAATTTTCTGGCATGGAAAAGCCACCCACATCGGCGTGTTCGTGCACGCTGGCTGCAATATTCGAACAAATCCAAGCGGCATCACGTCTAATATCGACAGGAGATTTCTTCGACAGCGAGCGATTCTGAGAGAAGATTCTCGAAAGACAGAACAGAAATGATTTAATTTTAAAAATTATTGCGAAAATTCCTTCAGGAAATAACAGTCGTGAACAGTGGCAGATTTAACGGAACACATTTACTGAATACGTCATGAAATAATACTCCTAATCAAATTTCTTGTTCTTTTTAGTTTTCATCATGAATAGCTGGTGTTGTTTACACTTCGGCAGTATCGTCCATGCTAAGAATTTGTCAGAAGCCGTTTTCCGAACTAAATGTTTGCTGTGAATAGCTTGGTACCTAAGGGAATGAATTTAGTGACAAATCAAGAAATCATGGTCCCATCTGCAATAATACATGTGATCACGTTCTGAAAAGGTACTGGCACAGCTATCGTTTTAGGAATTTTGGAGAAAGATTAACTCGATTAGTTGAAAACAGCTTTGGAAATCGAGTGATTCAGTGTTCGTGAAAATCGTCAAGCATTGAGGTAACTTGGGGTAACCAATGAAAAGCAACACACTTCATCTCTAACAGCCAAAATAACCAGTAAATAACAGTTTGATGCATTTTTTTAGGTACTCATCGTTCACACTTCCATTGTTTTCCTACGCAAGCGAAGATCTTTGCCTGTTCGAACCTGATTTACTGAGTTCTTATGAGTTTTCGGGTAACTACAAACGTTCGATTGGCCTACCTTGGCGGCGTATGTCACCTATTCCCGATTTTAAAGGCATGACTTAAAATGAAAAAACTTTTCAGAACTTACCAAGATGTCATAAAATCGGGGCTGGGAAATGATCGCCTCCGTCTGCCTTTCGTCACCGGTGATGATATTGCCCAGTATATGAAGCGCGGCATCATAAAGATCACTGAGACTCTGAAATCAAAAAGTGCGAAAAAATGGGGATGACCTGCTGATTATTTTATAGTAGCAGAAATCTCATACAAAGATATGAGGTCGCGTTAATTTTACTAGGCAATCTTTTGCGAACTATATGATTTATTATGGACTATAAACGTCGTCTTGATTATCCTTCATGTGTCAGCTGATATCAACATAAGAACACGCATTCAATATTACCACATATGAAGGGCGAAATACTGGTACCCTGTGTTCGATTTAAATAAACAGCGAGATGTTAGCATGTGAATAAACATTCATCACCCTTACCGAATCCAGGATCTCAAACACCAAATCCACCAAACCCGGTTCACTGAGTACGACATCGATCTGAATGAACATTAGGAGAAGTGATCCACGAATGAAGCGAGCACAAAAAGAGTAAAGAAACGCTTGTCAGAGATTGTTGTAAGCATTTTCTGCCAAAGAGAAAAAGAGCAGTGATATGCACCTGTGTTCCTGTGAGCATATCGTCTGCAATTGACGCCAATGTCCAGAGGCAATCTTCGGCCACATCTGTCCACACATCGTACTGCTTTGCCAGCTTAGTCAAAGCTGCTGTCAACAGCCTTACGGTCTGTATGAGAATTTGTTGTATTACACACAATCACCATCTTATAATGGTGGTCTTTCTTCCAGTCACTCGTGAATTAGAACTAGTTTTTACCGAGATCGATATGTTTCCATTCTGAATGCCACCATCCATGACGATCTTTGCACACCACACGATATTTTTCACTTCATCATGTTCGGTGGGATTTTGTTGAGCTAATATTTTCGCTATAATCTGAAAGCGCTAACAATATTCCAGTGCTGGAGTTACGATAGGTAAACTTTCATTGCGTCCAACAGTTTCTTCAAATAGACAACGCTTAAACGAATGTCACCAACTCAATTACTGTATTTGGTGATTAGTTCACGTCATCTTACGTCAATGAGCCTAGCTTCACGGCATCTCCTCCTGCAGTCAGGACAACAGGCTGCAATGTTGCCCAAAGACCAAGTGCATTGTACACGTAACTTGCCTGCACCGTATATTACGCCTTTTGTAAAGGCGTTAATGCCTCTCTGAAACTGTTAAGATTGTAGTACATTGGAAGAATCAGTTATAGTTGGTCTCTCTTTAGGTGATACGCATGTTTCACCTTTATTACATGCCATTTACACATCAAAAGAGTGGTTGATGATTCTCTAAATAACGCCTAATAGTTTGAATAAAGGAAAATTTCTTTGAGTCGATTCGCTTCACTCACAGTGTTCAATGCACTCAAATAAAATTCAATTCGAAATTCAAAGAATCAATCGTATTTAGCCAATTGAATTGTACCCGACTGCCAATTATGTGGCTCATTTCTTCTGACATATGCGCCATGTTCGTGAGAGCCCACGCAGCATTCACACGTGTTTCCTGCGAAAGGGCGTCATTTTCAACAGTTCGTTGTAGACTAGAGACCTGAAAGAAGTTACATCGATATCTTGACTCCGTTTCGCTGATTGTGACTATTTTAATTACTTCGGTAGCCACATTTACCATTGTTCTAAGAATTTGTGGCCAAATGCGTGCTTCGGTGTTTCCGAGGAATGTACTTGGGAGGTTCATCATAATAAAAGTCACGCAAACTGAGAAGTTCGACATTTTCATGTGGAAAGCTAGTCAAGAGTAGATCTATCAGAATCAGAACTTGACGAGACACGTGTGGCTCCTCTGGTGCTAAGTATGATACAAACAAAGGAATTCGTCGAAAAAGTGTCATTATTTTCGTGTTCCTCAAGCGATCGCAGCTGAATAAACAGCTCTGACACCAGTCAACTACCATTAGAGAATTTTAACTTATTATTTACTGCCTACTCTTTTTAACGGCAAGGTATACATTGTAAAATATAACTTCAATGATGCTGAGAAATTTGCAAAACTCCGGACCGCAGGTGTATGCGGTGGGGAACGAACGCACTATTGTCCTTTCCGGGGAGTAGCGCGTTCACCACCACACCACGTGGGTCCTTCGTCTCGCCTGTCTCTCAGTTCGTTCTATCGATCTTTTGCCATCAGCAATCACCCGTCAGCGAGATTGACCTGGGGAGCCTAAATCGGCAAAGAACCCCGTTAAGCTGAGGCCGCAGTTATAATCACAATTTTAACTTATTACCCTGCTAACGGGTGATTGCCGATGGCAAAAGATCGATAGAACTAGCTGAGAGACACGCGAAACGAAGAACCCGCGTGGTGTGGTGGTGAACGCACTACTCCCCGGAAAGGACAATAGAGCGTTCGTTCCCTACCGCGTACACCTGCTGTCCGGAGTTTTGCATATATCTCAGCATCATTGAAGTTATATATCATTAGAGATTTTTTTGGGTTCCGCCTCCAATAAGACAATGGTCATAAAGTTTATAGGTGACATAGGTAGCATACTGTTATTATCGTTATCCACTCTATGTATCCCTTAATGAGGGATCCTCAGCAGATTGTTCATTGAGCTACAAAGCCTTCCAGGACACAGAGTGGCGTTAAACGCCTCGCATGATGGAATCTCGTAGTTTTCTGCATGGAACACATTGCTTCCGTTCCCCATTTACCTGACCGTGTTCGTAAATGCATACAGGGTAGGCCTGCCTGATCAAGAATTCTACTTCGATTGGGTGAAAATTTGCAATAGAGAAACCAAGAAATATACGGTAATTAACTCATTGTCACGTCCAACAAATAACTCCAAGTCTAGATTTTTTAAAAAATCCAACAAATTTTTTTGGTTATTTATCAAAAACGGCAAAAATCGACTGCCTCGTTTCTTTGGTCACGAAGGATCCCCAAATGATACTGTTAGGTTTAGTGAATGCAAACAGCGGGCTAAAATGTCTGTCCGTTCTAGGTTGTCGAAAGCTATAGCAGTGAAGTCTTTATCTAGTGCTATGATGATCCAAGTTAGTAAATGAGTGAAGAGCTTCTATAACATCTCAGCGATCGCCGTAGTTAAGAGATCATTAGCAAGGGTGTGACACCAGAAGATGCCATAGTATGACAGTATGCTTCTCCTATTTTCTTCCCCATTCTTTCCCTTTTTTCCTCCAGCGAGCAGAATTCGCATGCAACTTCAATATCACCATTATGAAGGAAAAGTGGCTCCAAATGAGAGTGTCTGAGATCTCTCTCTTTTTTCAAGTAATTCAAAGTAGTGCGAAGCAATAAAGAGCTAAAATAGCCAACGAAGTTCCATTTCACGATGAACAATGAATGTGGTTGTGACGACCTTGTCAGCCAAGGTGAGAGAGAATCACTTGTCAACTGATGCGACTTCTCGAAAGTCAGTACCACTTATGGGTAACAGTGATGACCCATTCGCTCAAGGCATATGAATATTGCAGTTCACTCTTCTCATCGATGTGCACGAAATTTGCTTTCAAAATACTTGCAGCTTGACTCATCAACGGTAGTGTTTCGCTTGCTCCTGTGAAACAATTACTTGCCAACTTGCAAAGTTAAATGGTTGCTAATATATATGAGCGACACGTACTCAGTCCTTTTCTCTGGAGTAGTTCCAAAAAAGGTTGTCGGTAAGCGAACAGTGACGACTAACAGCCGTGCTAAGTTCACGGAATTAATAATTTTACAAACTGATTAGGAATCTCACCAAGCTTAGGTATTCTACCGGGTTAGATGTATCCCACAGCAAATCAGTGGTAATTCTTCGAAAGTATAATGCACTTGCCGCCTGTAAAATACCATTTCAGCATTTCACGCTTCACAGTTGAATCGAAATTTCAAAGCTCTTTATGCTTTTAGAATAGTTGAATAGAGAGAGAGAAAAGACAGATATACAAAACACTCACTTTGGCATAAGGTGTGGTGTCTTCTTCCAGGTATCTGAGAAAAAATTGTAGGTCCTCATCTAACGCCGATTTGTTAAATTGGATAGTTTCGGGTGAGGTCTGTAAACAAAAAGAGTTATTCTTTGTGTGCGCCGTCGTTGACTAATAGCAGGCTATTGGACCCACAAGCAAGTTAACTCACATTCATTAGAAAACAGAGCCACAATGGACGAAATGAGGCGATTCCGAAAGGAAAAATGAGACAAACCCTAAATAAAAATCAAGAACTAAGATAGATAGTAAGATAGCGGTATCTAAATGATAACTGATAACCGCTATTAGTGTTGTCTAGATCGTTCGACGTAAGGAATATAGGTGGCCTCCTGAAATGATTTTGCTGATTTAACCGCATTCTATGACACAAAGCACAGAATCGGACAAACGGGAAAGGGATGAAGTGTTCGTGGTTTAACAGTTCTTTATAGCAGGTTAAACCAAGTATATGATTCTGCTCGCTGCACTTTAGAGGCGATTGAGTGCTAATATTGTCGATATGGTGTCGAAACACACAGGAACCTTTTCTGACGCCTCCAGACAAGCTCAGGTAGGAATTCCTCCATCCCATACATACAAGGCCATGATAGCCGGGTAGGTGGAACCAAAGCAGCAGCCATGTGTGTATTTGTAGGTCGCGTCCAAAAGTACATTTCCATACGCGCGTCCCAGATTCAATCATAAGAAATGTTAAGAACGAACACTCCGAGAGCACTATCCAGGTAATCGAGGCAGATTTTTATTATTGTTTATTTGTCATTAGGGGCTGCTCAAAATTACTGTTTATATGTCAGCAGTTAACGCGATGAAAACACCTCCCAAATTTGACTAGAGAAGGTTAATAGCGACAGTTGTCGATTTGAGAGAGCGATAGAAGCGGCAGTCTTTAGAACTAACAAATAAAAAATTCGGCTTTCCTACTTATTTGGGAATGATATTCTCTTCAGCGTACAACTATGACTAATAAATAGACGACGTCGAGAATTTTGCGCATCACCCACGTGGTGCTTGGACGATGCCCTTAGGAATATAACCGGCACACACCGCGCCAATGCATACTACGAATTCTAATCTTCTACAGATATCACGTGTTTCGGACTTAGGGACCAAGATCAACATATTAAAAGGCAAGCATAGGAAATGAGCAAGTTATCTGATAAGGAAAGTTATGGTGATGTGGCCAAAGATGGTCGAGCTATTTGTGGCCATTTTCAATGAACAGTACTCACGTCTGAAAATGATTTACGGACTGCGCTCGTAGATGCGACCATGCATGAAGCAGATCATCTCCTTGGAGACCAGAAGGGATTTAGCGAGACCAGTGGATGACGAGCTAGAACTAACCGTAAATATCGCGAAGGTCAGGCATCCACGTATCCGAACTCTCCGTAAAAGACAGTGTGTGATAAATGAATGTTCTTCCGAATGATTCGATGTTGAACTTGATACAACTGAGTAGTTCGTTTTTAAGTTTGGACGTCCTAAGACGTGGACGTACGGTTTTAACTCTAATAAAATCTAAGTGCTCTTCTCCAGTCTGTGCCACAGAATGTACACAAATAATGGCCACTGTTTGCTTCATTTAGGGCTAGCCACAACAATTCTTGGAAAGGGGTTTCTAGTTACACGAGGAGAAATCGAATTACCGGTAAAAAAATGTCGATTTCTGTTCAAACATCAATTTTACGGTTCATAAAATATGTTGCTTGTAAAACGACTCGAAACTTTGTAAAACAACCAAAGATATTCTATTATCGTTTAGCGTAGCGTTTGAACGGTTACCAATCCGTTCCTCATGAACATCGTTTTTGTGAGATTTAGTCGAGGACCAATCTTTCCACAGGGTTTATCAAAGCCGGTAAGCACTCGTTTCACTTGGCTAATCCTTGGTGTTATAAGGACGATGTCATGAGCAAATCGAAGATGGTGTAATTGGCGAGCATCGATCTTCACTCCCATGTTGTTTCCTTTGAATGTTAGTATGACTTTCTCGAGGGTGGGAGTGAATAATTTTGCGGAGATGGTATCGCCTTGTCTAATTAATCCCTCTTTTGACATCAATGTTAATATCGTTGTAGAATTGTGATATATTGGTTGTGAAATTTTTCTACAACTCACGATGATTTCTATGACTGCTTCTACCTCAACTGAGTCAAAGGCCTTCTTCAAATCGATGAAATTGAGGCAGAGCAGTCTTTTGCACTCTCGCGACACTTCAAATGAGTTTTGTTATCATGGGGGTATGGTCTGGCGTACTAAATGCCTTTCGAAACGCTGCTTGCTCACTTGGCCGTCCTTCGTCCAGTTTTCTGTCAAAGTTGTGGATAACTCCAACAGAAGGTTTGTCGACGGTAGACAGCAAACAGATTATGCGACAGTTACCGATATCGTGTAAGTTACGGTTCTTGAACAAGAACGCGGTCATGCTGGTATTCCACTGAGTAGGGACCATGCGTTCAAACAGGTAGCGTGTGAATCCTTGCAACAGTTACCGCCTCACCGTGGCTCGGAGGTGTTCCTAGGTGTCGGTTTGCGATGCACAGCGGTGGATTCGTTCGCCCGGCAGGGTCTCCCAAGTTGTGACTGAGTTCGGCGTTTTCATTAGAAAGTCTAGCTAAAAGTAAACCAATACCAGGATCCACCACCGTTCTGGTGTCAAAGTCGAATAGTGTCAAATCTGCCTCTGATGCACAATGGCTGCGACTGCATCTGGTGGTGAAGATCTGTGGCAGGCTTTGGCCG